GGGCAAACTGAGAACTCGCATGATCATCAAACCCAAGAAAACAAGCCAATTTGACCGGAACCTAGAATATCAATCAAGATGCCTGCAGGTGAGAACAGCATGGAGAATGAATACTGCCATCCATCATTCTAACATGTAATTAAGATAAACAGAAACACACAGTCATACAAATGTTTTGCCTTTAGACTCGAAGGAAGGAATATAGCAAGCCACTGATAATGTGATCATCATTTAAGTGCCTTTATTACGCTCATTGCGGAGGCAAGCCACTTCTGAAAGTGTCACATTTTATTTTAAAAATCACATTAAGCGGTATGGAAAACCTGAACTTTAACAATCTTGAGAATTCCGATCAAGGAACTCTTAGTAAACATTGCTTATCTGCATGGAGCCCAGCCAAGACGCAGCAACATTTATCGGCTACAGATTTAACAAACAAAACAGTGAGGTGGCTGTCAAAGTTGAAGGCGCTTTTGAGAGGACTCTGTTACTATTGACCATTGTTCAGAGTAACCCAAGGCCCAAGGGAGCCCACAGATCCATCAAGAGTGAACGCAGGACATAAAAAGCAGAGCGCTGAGGAGATGCTAGTCCACACTAGTCAAGGGACCTTACTTTGTTGTCATCTGCCGATTCGCCCAGATGAATCTGAGCAATGCTGAATGACAACCATCTGCCTTTTGTGTTGATTAAATCTGAGCTCAGCCAGGTGGCTTCTCTACACTGCCCATGCCAAAAAACAGCCAATCAACAGAGGAAAGCATCCAGATTTCCAAAAATGTGCTTCACTGAGATGTAGAAGCCAGAGGAGGCAGGTTGGCTGGAGAGCCCTGGTTGGCCCACTTTGACTCTGATTGTGCCTGATTGGACAGCTGCTTTGAGCTCTGGCCAATTACAGTTTTCATCCACAGTTAGGCCAGAAACTGGAAGGGTTGGAAACAGGAAAAGTATTGAGGAGAACTCTTGTTATACCGCTTAACAAAGTACCTAATCAATTTCTTATCCTAATTGAATTTTGTATGGTACTCAGCTGAATCTACTCAACCTGTACCCAAACAAATATTTCAATTAAAATACTTAGCCGTTCTTGCTCTCTGTCTTCTCTACTTAGAACCATCTGGATTTGAGCTCATAGACCACCAGTGGTATTTAGCATGCTCTTCCTGGCAATATCTAAAGAGAACGCCAGACCTCATCCTAAACTCTGCCCAATGCTCTATCCTAGCAACAGTTCACTTGACTTAAAATGGAATGGGGGAATACTTTTCATTTTTTTTTCCACGTGTTATGTTTCCAGTATATTTTTTGCTTGTTTAAATCAACTGTAAAGAATTCAGTGGGAATTGCCTGTGACAATGAACGTTACTCTACTAAATTTCAATGATTTACTAATTCTATGATTCTGGAAATATTCTGCAGTATGATGAGATTGAATTTAAAACCTAATGGTTACAAAGTTTCCACTATTCAAGAAGACCTTGTAGTGTAGTGTAATGAGGAATAAATTTATACAATGCACATTTCTAAAACCAATTAAAAAAAAAAAACATTTATGGTGAGGGTTAATTAACGAAAACAGTAAAAAAAAATGCAAATATGTTCTCTAAATATTTTTCTAAATGTTTGTTTTAATTTAAGTTTGGGTTTTTTTTGTATTGTTTAGTGCCACAGTAAAAATGTCATATTTGGCTGTGCATAAAAACTGAGAAGCAAAAACATCTCAGAGTGCACCAGCTTGTTCCTGTAACGAGTTCTTCTGTTTTACAGATGGTGCCGTTTTGCAGTCTGAGCTCTTGTGCTCGATGAATTTGTTTTGTGGGAGACACATACATTTTCCGACACCTCAGAAAGCTAATTTCTGGAATGCTTAGTGAAATTCCAAATGTTTTGCGGGAAACGTTCAAAAATACAGCAACTGAGTAATGAAATGCAAACAATATATTTATATTTATATTTAATCACTTTTAGCTTTGATCAATCTATATATTTATTTTCGATTATGCAGTACCATGCCAAAAACCTCTTTTAAAAGTCACCCCAGTATTTGCAGAATCCATGCAATACACCCATACATTTTTTTGACTCGACCACTAACTCATCTTATTTGGCTAATCAATACCTCACTGAGTTGTTTAACTAAAAAAAATAATTAATGAATTCAGCTGGAGGTGAAATTGAACAAATACATAATGGTGTCCCCGTAGGAGAGGTTTGGGAACCAAAAGCAGTGTTTGTCTGGCTATCCAAAAAGATATCGTTAACTTTTTGGAGAACAGAAGAAATTCTCTCTCTTTTTTTTTATTGTGTCACTGTTAATTTGCATGTTACATCGATTTGTTAAATATTTTCTTTCCCTGCGCAAGACCTTTGCACATTACTGTATGTATTGTACAACATGCTGGGTTTGGACAATAAAACCACAATAAGACCATAATTTAAATTTAGACCACAATAGTTTATTAGTATGGTGCAGAGCCATGATATTGCAGCCCAAACCATCACTGATCCCCCCCCCATGCTGTACTCTGGGTACCCGGCAGTCTGGTTGGTAAAGCCTCTTTGGGGCTTCTCCAGACCATAACTCTCTCGGTTGTGGGAAAGGCAGTGAAGGCGGACTCATCAGAAAACAATAAATGTTTCACATTGTCCACAGCCCAAGATTTGCACTGCTGGCCCCATGGAAATCGACGTTTGGCATTGGCATGGATTACCAAAAGTTTAGATATAACAGAGCGACCATGACTATTGACCCTTCGGAGCTCCCAACGCACAGTTTTGGTGGGAACAGGAAAGTCAAGGTGCACATTTAATTTTGCAGTAAGTTGGGCAGCTGTGGATCTATTTTCTTTTGGATAAAATCAGGGGTGGGTGCCTGAATACCCCTTTGAGATAGTTCCCTCTGGCATCCACAGTCACTCCTGTAGGATGTGGTCCGTCCATTGTGGTGATATGCCAACATTACCCTGGATACCGTTGCTTTTGAACTCTGATATGTCTCCCATTTTGTTGTGCGGATGGTGATATTATACAGTACATACAGCTGTGCTATTGCTCTGCTAATTCAACCTTCACGCTCTTATGGCTCTTACTGATGGAATGTGCAATTAGTGAAGATTGAGCACTACTCCGCACATACATTGCCACGAAACCTCAAACACTATATTGGCCAGTGTATCACTTTCATTGTCCATCCCCTGTAAATACAATATCACGCACATATAACTAAACCTCTACAGTGGCAGTGCAAGCGGCACGTTCTGGTTCTTGATGCATGCCACACACATAATAAAATACGTCCATAATAAAATACGTCAGTCTCCGATAATCAAACAGGTGTCACTAACGTTAATGTGAACCAGCTGGATGAATCTTTCAATCAAGGAAACAAACAGGTCAAAGCGCAAGAAGAACAGAATTATTTAGCCGAGCACAGTTGCCTTTCGGTTTTAAAGTAGTTTGTAAAACCTGACGGAGCTCAAAGTGTCCTCCCTGACATGGATTATCATGGTCCCCCTAGTTAAAGTGAAGGTTCATATTGTGAAACAAGTTTAAAAACACCTGAATGTTATTCAGTATTGTTTTAATGGCTGACAGTGTCACTGTGCTTCCTGTTGTCATGATCAGTACCACCCCCTTTCTTTTGAGTATTTTTCTGCTCACTGGCTCACTCCTGGACACTGTGCTACTTGGCTGAACGGCCCTGTTGTTGCTGTGCCATCTGGCCTGGCTGCTAATGGGGGTAAATTGTGGACTACAGCCCAAGCCAGGCTTGGTTGTCTGTAACTGAAAGCCATGGGAGACACATGACTGAAATCCGTGCATCGTGAATTACACATGAGCTTGGAAGGGCCACCGCACATCACGGTCATAAACTGGTTAAGCAGATTTAACATTGCGACACCGAGCTCTGTCAAAACCGTACGTATACTTGGAATGCATCTTTTTACCCCTGATCCACCAGAGGCTGAAGAGTCGAATGAAGGTTAATTTCCTTAGCATGCTGGGGTTCCGAATGAGAACTTCATGTTGTGGCTGAAGCCACAGCCTCCCACCAGAGCCGTGGCACATCTGCAGCCCAGACAGAGCTGACGTGCACTTAGAAGGTCACCTCCAACTGGGAGCTCTATCACTGAAAGAGTTGTTTGGACACAAAGCTGAGCCTGGACAGCGGCAATCACATGCTGCCAGGCGTTGGGGGGGATGGAGGTCTGCACCCAGATTGGATCTGGCTCTTTCTCCTAACTAGCATCCCAGGGGAAGGTCCTTCAGCTTGTGTGGCTGGTTGAGAGACTCAGAGAGAAATCTCTGCCCCGGCACTCAAGGGCAGAGTTAGAACAGTTTATAGCAGCTATAGTAACGGAACCACCCTCCATAGAATGAAGGGGACTGGAGTGTGAGCTTCCACAGCCGCTGGTTCCACATCAAAGGCACGTTCTCCTCACCACTGGCTCTGTCTGCCTTTTACAGCCTTGCGCACTGAACATCATCCAGCCCACAAAACAGAAGGGAAGATCCAGACAACACACAAGAGGAATCCCAGCCTCCATATTTGTGAATGCCGACTTCCCATAGTAGTGAAGACCAACCACTCCCCCCCCCCCCCCGCCTGCCCAAACTAAACATCCCCAGCAGCCATGACCAGGAGGTCTAGTGAGTCATACAGGAAGCTCTGTGAAACCACTTCTGAGCAAATGATACAGGAGGCTTTTAGTAAGTCATGAAGGTAAACAAGACATCCAGAAGGCCCTACGAGTACCACAGATGAAACCTCTTCTGTTAAATATTAAAGTACTGGGTGCAAAACCCTGCTGGGCCTGATCACAGGAGAATGGTCATATCGCTAACAGGGTATCTTTGGAGGCCTGTCACTAACGTGATCTCAGTGGAAGTGAAGGCAGTTAAAAGACAGAAGACATTCAATCAGGAGGAGGTCTTCCTGGGCTTCTGTGAGACTGGGTGAGCTAGACATAGATACAAAGTGTCTTCTTAAAGAGTCTTACCTGGCTCCAGAAGGATAAGCTGAGCAGCGGCCTGGATGTTTCCCGCTGCATTCTCCGCCATGCATTGGTAAAATCCCTCGTCCGACTTCACCAGACCCAGGATCTGCAAGTGGCCCCCACCCTGAGTCCAAAGAGTTTAAGTGCATTAACTTCAGAAGGCAGCATGAAGGGTGTAACACAGATCAATCCATCCCAGAAGAAAACTGGGTTAAACTGTCCTACTGCACTGTTATGTAAATTAAACTGCTTACAAAACTACGCTACATAGAAGCTTCTAGAAGGGATGTTCTCTGTGGAGCTCTCCCAGCAAGATAGCAGCAAGCTGCCTCAGAGACTAGCTGGACCAAGGCTTAATATCATTGTTATATTTCACAAATGCTGGTTTTATCCACGTTCATCACACAGATTTTCACACTGGCAAACAACCTCACAGCAAACGAAACGCTGCTTTCTGGAAATCCGCACTGCCGATCAGGCGCTCAGACACAGATGCTGTGTGGGTCCACGACTATCACCGCTTACAGAGTGCCGCCATCGAAGATTCCCGCAATATAAACAGGCGCACGTAGAGGACTGCGAACACTTTGGCTGTTGGCAGCTCATAATCACCATCGTGAACTTACACGTGTTTACAAAACAAAGTAATATTTATATCACCAGCTGCGAATGAGCTCCAGGGATTAATTTGCAGCAGCTCTCACCATGACTGCCATGCATCTGGCAAACGATGGCTGGCGCTCCGCACACAAAGGTCTGCGATGCCTGTGACATCTGCAGCTAAGGGGTCCGACTCGTGACATTTATTATTTTTTTGATTCGACTCATCAACTACAGTCCCAACAGGGTCCTAACTTTGTCTGGGTCTGTCTTCCACAGATCCACTGAGAATAGTTAGGATTGCGGTCTTCGGGAGTCCCAACTCCAGAGAGAATGAAGCTGTTGCTTTTAGGCTTGGTCTGGCGCCCGGCGACGAACACAGGTAGGGTTTGCGAGAGTCCTGAGCTGGGTGACCCTGAGCTGACATACCTGCCATCCTGGTCTGGTGCTGTGTGGATCTGAAATGCATTATGGGGGATACAGCTCACCGCCTCCTGGGAATATTATAGTCATGGAAGATGTCAACTCTGCTGCACTAGTGGGTACAGCGAATTGGATTTAGCTCGGCTCGTGTGTTGAATACAAATATATATTCGTACCACTTCCAAATGTATTTTTTGAAGCACATTTTTTTTAATGCAGCCTTAAGCAAAGTGATATTCATTTATATATCTCTGGCAAAACAATTCATTAGAAAAATTATACAGTATAGGGTGTATTATACAGGAAGGTAAAGGAGAGTGTGCAGCCAATCATGCTAAACTAAACGAGCGACATCATCACACTTAAGCTTCCTTCTGCATTTTTATCTGTTCCTATCCATTTACACAGAAACACCTCAGGGCCTGGTGCGTTTTATTTCACATTTAGTAATATACAAGAATTTAAATTTAATTTATAAAGTAATATTAAACACAAAAATCAACATTGACAGTATCCATCGGAAATAATGGTGCGTTAATATACACTGACAGGATTCTTGGGAAAGTCCAGTCAAGTGCTACATGTAAATTTGATTCTGGTGGGTTAGGTTATTTGGCAAACATACTCCGTTGCCTCATCACTGACATTTTGCATGAATAAAGTGCTATATAAGAATATAGTGCTTATATGCATCTATGCGTATGTGTGAACAGTGTTTAGCATAAACAGGGTGCATGACAGGTTACCTTATGCACTCCTCAGGCGGTTCTACAGCTCTCTGACTGTGCCTCTGCCTTATATATACTGTGCCATTAAGTATAAGTATTGAAGGTCCAGACAAGGGGAATTTACAATATAATGTCCTCAGCCGGTACTCCCTCTCTTACTTACACTGGAGGAACACACTTCATGTTCAGGGTCCCAAAGACCCCAGCGATTAAAAAAAGACCAGCTCATCCATCATCCCTGCATAATCATGTATTTTTCTGGCAGGATTTTTGCCACTATTTTGTATTTGTTCCTAATTCCTGGTAATATCCCGCTCTTAATCTGGCTGTCATGCCCGACTAGGTCGGTCACACTGGAGTGCGCCTCTCTGATTTCATCAATCTCCAGATTCACGCCCGTACTGTACCCTCCTAATTATCCGGCAACATGCCAGAGCGGCTGTGAGCAGCCTCCCACAGACAGCCCGCGAGTCCAGGCCCCTGTCACGCCAGAGGGACAGCCGCGAGTCCAGGCCCGACATGCCAGAGGGACAGCCGCGAGTCCAGGCCCCTGTCACGCCAGAGGGACAGCCGCGAGTCCAGGCCCCTGTCACGCCAGAGGGACAGCCGCGAGTCCAGGCCCCTGTCACGCCAGAGGGACAGCCGTGATTGCACGTCGATGCTACCGCTACTCTCCGCTGCCAAACTGCCAAGCCTTTTGTCTCAGCCATTAGGGCTTCACAGTCGCAAACCAGCAAAAACCAGGATCGATTTTCAAACCATTAACTGGCTAATCAGGAGGTTCCCCCTCTTACATATTTATCCATCCATCCATCCATCCATCCATTCATCCATCTTTTATACCCACTTGTCCTATTCAGGATCGCAGGGGGTCAGGAGCCTATCCCGGAGGCTACAGACACAAGGCAGGGAATAACCCAGGGTGGGGCGCCAACCCATCGTAAGTTATGCATTTGTCAAATGCTTAATTATTTGTATGACGCAACTATAACAATATAGATTCTAGCCTAAACATTTTTTTTGTTAAGGACTTTTATCAAGAGTACAAGAGTACAGATGGCGCCCGGGACTTTGATCTTGAAAGCCAGCACAACGCTGCCCCCACTGGCCTGGGTGAATAAAAGCAGCACTCACAACGATCTTGAAGTAGTCGCTGGGCACCACCATCTCCCCGTTCTTGGCCCAGCGGACGGTGGGCGCCGGGCTCCCCATCACATCGCACTGCATTTCGATGTCCATCGTCTCGTAGGCGTACAGATTGGCGGGGGCAGTCAGGAAGCGTGGCGGCACTGCGGACAGAAGGGCAGGGTGACCGGTCAGACTCCTCTCCAGGTATGCATGCTTAGTCCTGTTTAGGCTATGCTACTTCTGTTGCATACTTCTGTTCTTCTGACATGTTTAGCCTGTGATTCGGTCAGTAGCGATCTTCCACAGGCAGGGAGGGGTGCATGTACAGCAGATAAGCCACAGTTTAGGCCTGTGGTATTCCGTTTTCTTTTTTAACAGCGCCCCCCCCCCAAAACACACACATACTTACCACAAATTTTATTTTTAATTATTTAAATTTGTTTGAATCATATCATGCGTACAGGCATATAATGGGTACACAATATTTTCAATATTTCTAAAGGTTGCAATTTTTGCAATTTTGAAATAGGTCTGCCCCCCCCCTCAAACTCCCCACACAGTTATTTGTTTTTTTTCCCCACACTTGTATCCCCCCCCCCCAGTACAAAGTTCACTGGACAATTTGTTCTTTGTGAGTAAATATTTTAAGTGAATATAACTTTCTCACACCTTGCACCAGTGTGTTCAGCTTGGTAATTTCCTTCTTCAAAGATTCATTGTTTAGTTTGTTCAGTTCATTCAGTGACTCATCATTCTGTTCGTTCATTTCGTTCAGTGATTCATCGTTCAGTTCATTTATTTTGTTCAATGACTGATTCATCATTCTAGTTGATCAGTCAACTAGACTATGCAATTCACAACAAAGACACCCTCTCTTTTGCCACCCACTGGTATAATTATGTACTAACTATCCATCCATCTTCCAACCACTTATCCTGGTCAGGGTTGCCAGGGGCCTGGAGCCTATCCCAGGCATCACAGGGCGTAAGACTGGGGTACACCCTAGATGGGATGCCAGTCCATTGCAGGGCACATAAATGCACACACTCAGTCATACTCTGTGGGCAATTTAGGGGAACCAATTAGCCTGATGTGTGTATTTGGACTACCAGAGGAAAGCCATCCAACAGGGAAAGAACTGCACACAAGCTGGAACAGGGTGTGTGTGTGTGTGTGTGTTTTAATTTACAGTAAGTAACAAAAAACTAAAAATTAACCCTAAAAGGGACCCTCCTCCCAATGGAAAAGTATTCAAGAGGGAACTGAATGAAACAATGAACAAATCTAAATGAATCTTGCTGGTTAACTATCTCAAAATATGCAGTTCACTGAAAAGAATCTTGATTTCCATCCATAAACAAGTCCTCTGTTCCCCACAGAAACCGGCTGCTTGCTCAAGCTCCCAGCTCATTTCTACTATTTTATTTAACTGATGCCATATTAATTTAAAAGTGATAGAACTCACAAATATAAATACAAAAAGAATAACTTCACCTTTGTGAGTATTCCCAGTATTTCTTCTAGCAAATGGAGCAAATCAGTGTTTTTACACACAATAGGTACTGATAACTAAAAGCATTTCATAAAGTAACCCTACTACCACAACTATAAACAACCGTTTAATCTAGTTCATTAACCTTTATGATTTTATTTTAAGTTATGGAATTATATGACAGGGATGAAATTTTTATATGTTTATGTCGTCATTTTGGATATTAAACTAAAGTCTTCACTACTTTGAATCACTTCAAAATTTATACAATATAAGAATACTTCTTTAAGGTTTTCCATTGGAAAATATAGTTCATACAGTTTAATATCGCCGACTGATGTCATGCTACGTGTCTGAATACAGAGACATTAAAGAAATACTCTAACTCTCTGTAGGTTTCCTCAAGCACGCTTCTGCTGATTGCTTTATAACACGCAAAACAAACCATGCTAAATTATGCAATGTCATTAAGTTTTAATTAGTTGAAGTTTGATGTAGACTGTGTTTATGTATAAATAAAATCATCATAATGTTGCTCTAGCGAGACTGGAAACCCTCCAGTATTCCAGAGAAGTCCTTCCGCAGTGACATGGTGCGTAGAGTGAAGGTCCTGAGCAAGTCACTGACCGCTGCTGTAAAGTCGTACATATTTTAACAAATGTATTTTAGTAACAACGAATTTAAATTAGCATTCCATTTTTTCTATATCGTCATGTTTTTGCACTGATATTTTTTTAACTGAAGGTGTAGACAAGTGATTGACAATACATCCATCAACCCATCCATTGTCCAACCCGCTTATCCTACTGGTTCGCGGGGGGTCCGGAGCCTATCCCAGAAGCAATGGGCACGAGGCAGGGAACAACCCTGGATGAGGGGCCAGCCCATCACAGGGCACACTCACACACCATTCACACCTAAGGGCAATTTAGCAATGCCAATCAGCCTCAGCATGTCTTTGGACTGTGGGGGGAAACCAGAGTACCCAGAGGAAACCCCACGACGACACAGGGAGAACATGCAAACTCCACACACATGTGACCCAGGCGGAGACTCGAACCCAGGTCCCAGAGGTGCAATGCAACAGTGTTAACCACTGCACCACCATGCCACCCATTGACAATACATATATGTAGTTATTTTTTTCATTGGAATTACACTTTTTGAATACGCCTGCAAGATAACTGTCTGCAGATATGTACTTAATTAGCTATTTAACCAACTTACACAGGAAGGTTAGATGTTCAATCTAAAGTTGTTCGGTTTATTAATAATACTAATGATTAAATTTCCTTCTGTCATGCGGTATATTAAAGGTACCATTTGAGTTTGGCGTATGAATAATTGCACAGCAACTGCCAATTCATTCTTTCATGATTAGTATCCAGACACAAGAATTTATGTTAATATTTCAGAAAAATGTCTGTAGGTGGTAGTGTTTGCATGACATCCCAGTGTGTAGCAGATATCAGACAAACCAGCTCTCATTTTTTGTTCCTGCAGATGCAAAACACTAAAAATGTGATGACAAAAAATGTCTCTTTTGCTTATTTGGGAGACTCGGGGTGGGGGTTGGGTGTCTTAGTTTGCCCTATTTAAGGGTCTGTTGTTTCTCCTTTGAGATGGGTGTTACCCAAAACAGACTAATGGCAACACATGTCATTCCAGGCAAGAAAAAAGGGCTTTAAATAGGGATTAAATCTCTCATCCTTAATGTCACCTTGAGCTGTACCTTTTAAGGCTGTCAATAGAAAATAACAACAAAGTTATGCTGTCATCAAGAATTACAGAAAACATTCCCAGTCCAGAATGGCCGGCCCAGCATGACATCTCAAAGAATAGAAAAAAAAACATGAACACTGTGTAGTATTTTAAGTTTCAATAAAAAAATCCCAGGGAAAATATATATTTACTGTTGATACTATCAGACCAGTTCCAACAGATTAAACTCTATGTTAATATGTTACACTGTATCTCTCAATCCGTGGCGCGTGTGTTTCACACTGTATTTCTTTGCATGGCTACCCAGTGTCTGTATTATAATAATAGTCTTTCTCAGTCATAGCTGTCTTAACTCGTAATTACATCCATGCTGTCAGTTGAATTTGAAATCCATTGCCAGTTTTATATTCTTCTTGACACATATAGTTCAGTAATAGTAATAAAAAAAAATCTTTGGTGAGTTTTAAACAGCTAGTAACCTTTTCCCCTCACCATATTAAAAAAGAATTATAATTAGTAATATAATTAAACCATCCCTCTTCATTAGCTGCTTATGCAAAGCTGGACTGTATCCACGCAAGAGGAGTCTGTGAAGCAGTGTACGCAGTCAGCATGCCCCTCCATCACAGGAGCCATACTCAGTCAGAACAGTTTAGAGGTGCTAATTCATCTATACTGCATGTTTTTTGGACTATGGGAGAAAACCAACATGAAATAAAGACTGTAAACTTTACAGGCACGAATCGTCAGGCCTAGAGGCGTGAGGTTGGAATGCAAGTAACTGAACCATGCTAACAGTAATCTGTATTTAATACAGCTCTCCTGTCCATGAATAACTTACTGCATCATTTAATATCTTAATTATATTTAACACATTGTAGTGCATAAAGAGACCACTGGCCCAGTGAGAGTGTATGGAAAAACCACATCTCACCCTAAATATAGGCAATTTTGGGACATCTAACTTATGAATCATTGTATCATAATGCAATTACAGTTCTGCTCAGTCTAAGCAAAGTCTGGTAAAGATTAATCTAATGAAGGAAACATATCTTTTTGAAGTTTATTATAAGGGATAACACAACTTGATCCAGGCGTGTTCCCCTTTCTAAGTGGCCCGTTTCAAGAATAGAATAGAATAGAATAGAATAGAATAGAATATATCTTTATTGTTGTAGATACAATGAAATTTGAATGGCCGACTTCCAGTGCAAATAATAATAATAATAAAAAACTCGGCCTTGATCCATTTTTCAAAATTTAATATATTACTTAATATTTCATACAATTAATACATGCAACACTAAGATTAGTAGTTTGTAAGACATCGGGCAAGCAATTCATTCATAAACTGCTCGGAAGGCTCCCCCTGCGAGAGCTCCGTCTGTGAGACAGAGACGGCCATCTCCACGCAGCGCTGTCTGCTTTCAGACATAAAGAGGGAACCATATTAATGCTGCCCGGGGGATGACATGACTTCCAAGGAGCGTCACAGGGCCGATGTAGACGCTAGCTAGTCAGGGGCGCGGAATGCAGCGCTGTTGTCTCTCTGTGAGGAATCACACAGAGGCGTGTTGAGCGTGACGTGTTCACAGTGTCGGACAGGGATTTCCGGGGCTTTATTTCTGTGTTGGCAAAATTATATTGTTCTGCTTCAGATCTCTGGAGAACAACAGCAGGACAAGCAGCGGCATGACGGTGTCACTCTGCTGGCCACTGTACTTCTGTGTGGCAGTACTAATCCTTCCGTGAATTAACATTTTACTCCAGGGTCGGCTATTTATATTTCCGCTTCTTATTTTGCTTTATGGGAATATGCTGGCCCGGAGTCCGAGTGGCGGTAATAATATCTATCGTAACGCGCACGGAAACAGTGAAACAAAGTCTGACATAACAGCCGTGTGCCACATCAAGCACTGAAAGGTGTCCGATGTTTGGGGAAGAACA